AGGGCATCTGTTCAGTGCCCACAGATATTGGAGTCTCTGTGTCCCGGCTCAAAACCCTGAGCACCCTGATTCGCTCAGCTTGCATCTTGGGACCAACTCTTGTTCCCATAGCCGTAGTCAGGGAAGAGTCGTGGGAGCTGAGAGGGGCAGGCGTGAAGCCAGGCATACACCTGTAATCCCAGCTACATGCGAGGCTGAGGCAACTTAGGGGGGCCCCGTCTCAAAAAAGAGAAAAGGGGGTGATGATAGGGCTGTTGATGCCAATCTTGAATACACTGAACAACTTCCCCACCCCATCTTTTTAAAATTTATTTTTGTTTTTTTAGAGCCAGAGCCTATTTTAGGTCAGTCTTGAACTCACTGTGTAACCCAGGAAGACCTCCCAACTTGTGGCAGTCCTCCTGCCTCAGCCTCCTGAGTGCTGGGACTAGTGGTGTGTGCACCATGCCCCACCCAGCCCCAGCAACACCCTCCCGCTCTTCTCCCTCTCTCTCTGTCAGTCTCACTGCGGAGAACCACGCAGGACTCATCTGGAAGGCACAGCCACATGTGGCCTGCATCAGCCCCCTGTGTACAGACCTCTGTGTACCCATTCCTGGCCACCGCTGCTTCCACTTTGTGGCTGTTGTGAACAGCACTGCTGTGAACATGCGTGTGTGGGTCACTCCGGGTCCCAGCCGCACTGTCCAGCTCTAGTTTGAACTGTGTGAAGACCGGCAGCCTGCTGTCCACAGTGGCCGCCCCTGTGCACTGCGTCTCTCCACGCCCTTGCAGACACAACTTTGCTGTTGCCGTGGCAGCCACCCTAAGGGCTGTGGGGTGGTAACTCCGTTTTTTCTTGTTTCTGATTTTCCCATAGGGCTTTGTTCTGAGCTACTCCCCCGCCCACCCCCTTTTTGAGACAGGGTCTCACTAAGTTGCTGAGTTGCCCAGGCTGGCCTCAGACTTGGGAGTCTTCCCATGTCAGCCTCCTAGAGTGCTGGGATCATAGGTGTGCACCATCCACTGAGTTTATCTTTGCCCATTCGTAAATCGGGTTGCTTTGTGGTTGTTTTTTAGAGTTCCCTAGATTTTCTACATTCCAGTCCCTTACCAGATTGCAAATGATTTGCACGTATTTTCTCATGGACCTACCTGCTTAAAAGCCTTCATCAAAAAAACGCAAAAATTGGGCCGGGCATTGAGCTCAGTGGTTCCACCGCCTGCCTCACAAGTGCAAGGTCCTGAGTTTGATTCCCGGTACCAAAAAGTTTCTTTAAAAATGCAAAAATCTACAGCTGAGTTTAGAGCTGTGTGGATTTCACCCCGCTTGGTTGCTGAGACTGGAAAGTGGGGCGGGTTGCACCTCCACAGAATGTGCAGTCGTGAGGTAAGAGGTGAGGTTGAGGGAGGGGCAGTTGGCACCAGCTCTGAGCAGAAAGCAGGGCTCACAGAAAGGTGCAGGGCCACATAGCGATTTGGTGTCCTGAACATAGGTGTTCACCCTTCAGAATATAAAGCATCTTAGTAACGAAAACATCCTGCACACATCTTCAAACAGGGACATCACTACACCAAAGAATAAGGCATAGGATAGGTTCCAGATCCTCTGCAGCAGTTCAAGGCCATTTTCAAGCCTGAGCCAAGCCCAGGTGTGGCATTGTTTTAGCAGTGGCCTGCTCCATGACTATATGATGGCTGCCACTGCTGCAGGAATCACGGGCAGAACTTCCTGCCAGAGAACAAGAGCTCTTTACTGAATCTCTTGAAAAGCAAGAAGACCTTGCTACTCACATCTTACAGGACAAAAGTCTTTGGCACCTAAAGTCTAGCCAGTGCCTGTAAATCAAACGACTAATCGTTTAGGGTGGATGGATGTGGGCAGGTCTGAGTTGAGGGTGTCACCCCCTGCCCCGAGGGCCTCAGAATATTTCTCTGACCACACAGTGTGCCCCGAACACCCTCCCTAGGTCAGGAGGTCATGGGCACAGGTTGGCAGGTAGACGCCCAGCACCAGCAAGCTTGGGGCAAACACTGGTAGGTGAGGGCACTCCTGTGACCTCCTGTCTCAGAGTTGCCTCTCCTCGTGTCTCCCCATTCTGTGTCCCGTGCCCTGTGGCCACTGTGGTCACCAACACTGACTCAGCCTGTTTGGGAAGTCACTTCCCCAGCACCCGTGAGCTGCAGTCCTATGAGATGGGAAAAATTACTCAGCATGTAAGCGCCCTATTCCCTGAGCTGAGTTTTCTTTCCTTTTTTTTTTTGGATACAGGGTCTTGCCATGTAGTTCAGGCTCAGCTAGCACTATGTAACCCAGGCTGGCCTCAGACTTGCTACGATCTTTCTGCCTCAGCCTCCTGTGCTTGGATTACAGGTGTGGCTCACGGTTGACTTTCAAATCTCCTTCTCCCCATGCTCCATCTTCCCCCCTGCCCCTGGAGCCTGCTCTCCATGGAATCCCAGAAGTTTACTCCTGCTCTGCTGCTTTCCAGCTGTGTGGCCTGGGAAAATGGCATAACCTCTCTGAGCCTGTTTTCTCGTCTAGAAAATGGGGCCAGTACCTGCCCTGAGGTTCTAAGAACATGTGTGGCGCAGCATCAACCACTAGGAACCACACACAGTCACTGCCCTCAATTCTGTCACCAGATTAGCCAGCCTCCTGGACTGCTGGGATTATGGTGTGTGCCACCATGCCCACCTTGGCAAGGGTTTTAATGGAGGAGACAGGAGACAATCAGGCATTGCTTGACAAACTTGTTTATTTTAGCCCTTGCATCCCCCTCCCAGGCTGCCACTCTCCTGGACCCAACAGCAGAGGCGGCACAACCCCAATATGTTCAGGTAGGAGGGGAGCGTTCCCGCCTCTACCCCTAGGAGATGAGGCCACAGTACCTTTAGTCTGTAAACCTGCACCAGACTGAGCTCAACATGTTACCTTGAGCCTCTCCCCGAGCTCGCCAGGGCCTCCCATACGTCAGAGCCCCTGGTCAAGAGCTGCACCACAGGATGGAGAGGGACGGGGGAGGGTACCAGACCCTAGCAGCCTCTGTGAGGAGAAAGCAGGGCCTGCTGGGCAAAGACACAACCAGGGGCCTGGCCCAGTGAGGCTGCTGGTCCTGTCCCTCCCAACTGTAACTAAAGCAGCAAAAACACCCAGCTTTGTTGTGGCGTTTGTGGGGTGGGGGGACACACTCTACATACTTAAAATTAAATTCTCAGCCAAGCCCCAGCGCACCGATCCAGCAGGGAGCTGGGGAAAGCTTGATTGCAGACAGAAACCCCTGGTCTTCCAAAAACAGAAGGGGCCAGAGCTGAATGTGTTATCGCCATGGGCAAAGTCAAGGTGGGGGTGGTGTCCCCCGGGTCCCCATTTGGGGAACTGAGGACTGTAAACATGACCCAGGGAAGGCTGGAGTGTCCCAGCGCCCTGAGAATCTTCCTGCTTGAAGAATTGTTGGGCACTGTGGTGAGTGAGAGGATAACCCATGTGGGAAACAGGGAACCTGGTCTCTCCAGAGACACCTGGGGCATGACAAGGGTAGCTGGCAGGAGAGGGAAGCCCAACATAGTCCTTCAGCCACCTTCTCTGTCCCTGGAGCAGGACCTGGGCCCCTCCTGAGCAGTGAACCTGCACAGTCAGTCTGGGCCTCGAAGCTCCCAGGAGCCCCACCCCAAGCAGGGACAGGTGACAGAGGATCTGGCTAGGGAGTGGCCAAGAGCCCCAAGAAGGCCCTCAGCCTGGGCAAAGTCCGTCCTTCCTTGGCTGTTCCACTAGACTTGTGCCCATGCAGAGTCACTGCCTCTGGGACACCGTCCCCACAACCCACCTGCTTCCAAAAGTGTGAAGTGGGCAGGCCAGCCTGGTGCAGGAGCAAAAAGGCAGGCCTGGCAAGGTCATTGGCCGGGCACTGTCCCCACCCACGGCCAAGACCTGGCAGGAATGGCTGGGCCTGAGCCACAGTCTCCAATCAGGCTGATTCAGGCCTGTGGCCTGCAGGAGGCCTTCAGGGGTACCTGGGACTCAGCCCATCAGGCTCCTTGGATGGCTCCAGGCCCAGGTTCTCCGTGGAATCAGACATGATGGTTTCCTCAGGGCTGGGTCTTTGAAGCCACATGGATCTAAGGTCCCCCTCAGGATCAGCATCTTTTCAGAGTTTAAATCCCCTGAAACCAGGCCACTCAGGGCCCTTGGGGCTGCCTTGACCGCCATTCCCTAGACCAGGGCTTTGGGGCCAGGCACAGGGTGGCTGGGGCTTGAGTCCCTAGGGAACGGGACTGTGGTGACTTCAGGGCTGGCCTGGCTCCCGAGCCACTGGCCCCTGAGCGCGCGGACCTCCTGCCCGTACCACTCATGCAGCCGCGCAAAGGGCGCCGAGTCCGGGGGTCTGTCAGGCATAGAGGCCCTGCGTCGGCGGGGTGGCAGCGGGGGACAACGGGGGCTGGTGACGGGAGGCTCCGGACTCCACACGGCCGCGCAGAGGTCGGG